CCACCCTCAAAATCCGGGAAGCAGCGGAAGATGTCGTAGCTGAGGCCTCTTGACAGAATCTGACGGACCTTCACTACGTAAGTGCCTATACAAGTAGCTTTTTCTAATCTCTGCACGAAAGGGATGAAGCCTTCATCCGTAGCAGAGGGAGCACTCATCAAATGTACACAATGTGAGACGTACCAAGCCATTAGATAAGTATACGGCAAGGGTACTCGAGGATTGTACTCGAGGATTGGGAGTCACCAAGCTTTTCGTCCCTTCAGAATCTATCTCTTTCACTTGGATAAACTCGAGGCATAGTTCCCTCAAACCGTGTTGTAAACAGCACGTCATAGCGGAAAGTAGATTTATGGGTCTCCCATGTGCTAAGAGGACGGCCGGATAAGCTACTTCAATCATCACAGCATCTATTGGTCTGGTAGGAACCACACCCCGCTTCAGCCACAGCATGAGAAAACCCGCTAATAATGCCATATCAGAGATGGGAGTGGCTGCCTGGTGATGGAAGCTCTCGAATTCAGTCTGTGCTGGGAAGTCATCTTCTATTCCCTCGCTGACATAGTGAACGGTGGCGTCATTGATCAAAGCCTGAATGGTCTCAGGAGTGCTCGCCTCCCGACGAGATACGGTGGCAGCCTTGTTAGACAAATTTTGGAAAAGATACTCGGCCCAAGATAGCTGCTTGATACCACGTCCACGTGCTCCTGTCAGTTGGCCGCAGATTTGAAAATGACACATCACCTCCCACAGAGTGTCATATACTTCGGGGTTCGTCTCCTTCAAGATCTTCAGCTCAGTTGATCCGGGAATAAACTCTTCATATGGCAGGTCTCCAAAAGGAAGACCTGAGACATCAAACATCTCATGCAGGGCGAACCCTAATTCTCCTTCCGGCGTGAAAAATGTACAAGTCTCTGGATTGTACCGCTCCAGAATGGCAAAGAAATTGTAGGGGCTAAGAGCGATACCATATTTAGTAGCCATAATAGGGCATTCAAGCCCAGATTGAGCTAATGGTCCCTTTAATTCTGCCAACACGAATTCTATCATTCGTGCCCACCAGCCTGCCTTAGTAGAATGTACCCATCCAGGAGCTCGGAATACCGCAGTTGGGAATTCTCCTTTGGCGGCCAAAAATCTTCGCATGAAGGTGTTAGCTGGGCTAGTTGTTTCTCCTAAAGGATATCCCCGTGAGAATAAGCAGGGTTCCAAGGTCGACACTTGTCGATTATAACCAGCAGTATGCACACCCTTGTGAGTCAAAACCCCAACAGCTACCCCATCCTGCTCTCTCACCAAGTCCCAGTTCATGTGGCGGGGAACAGAAGCACATTGGTAGTAAGAGATGGGAAACATCCTATGCATGTCAGGGAGGAAGAGACGACGATCTCTAATTTGTCTTAGCCACTTGTAATGGCCGCCATGCACAACCTCTTTTTGGATGGTGACGCGATCCCCAAATAAGAAAGCTGGCTTGACGAGCTTCTTACGGGACCCAGTCTCAAACTTGGCGTCTGTAACTAATACCCTAAGTATATCTGTACTGGGATCCGAGATCAAGGTGACACGATCCTTGTCAGAGTCTTGGAATATCGGGAGTTCCTGACGCAGATTGAATTGCATGTTAAAATCCACGCCGCCCCCACCTCCGAAGTGGTGACGAAGATTGAGAGGTTCGCGGGTGTAAGGCACTGCAAAAAAAAAAGAAATATTCAATCAATCAAATGAAGGGAGCTTCAGTTAAGCCTATAAGAAAGAAAGTTATCAAACGCACAGTTCAGATCTGGCGTTTATATTCATCAACGCAAAGGTCGAACTCTGCGTTAAACTTTCAAACGCACAGTTCAGATCTGGCGTTTATATTCATCAACGCAAAGGTCAAACTCTGCGTTAAACTTTCAAACGCACAGTTCAGACCTGGCGTTAATTTTTATCAACGCAGAGGTCAAACTCTGCGTTAAGTTTTTGAACGCACAGTTCAAACCTGGCGTTAAAATTTCATAAACGCAAGGGTCAAGCCCCTGACGTTTCGAATTCAAAACGCAGAGTCTTAACTCTGCGTTAAACTTTCAAACGCACAGTTCAGACCTGGCGTTAATTTTTATCAACGCAGAGGTCAAACTCTGCGTTAAGTTTTTGAACGCACAGTTCAAACCTGGCGTTAAAATTTCATAAACGCAAGGGTCAGGCCCCTGACGTTTCGAATTCAAAACGCAGAGCCTTAACTCTGCGTTACAAAACGAGTCATCTTCCTCGTTTGCAAGAACCCATCTAGGGTTTTTTCAGAGAACTCACCGAAGCAAGTTTGACGGCAATACATCTAGGGTTTTAAAGAACTCGCCGAAGCAAGTTTGACGGCCACGAAGGGCGACACTTACCACCAACCGGTGGAGCCGGAGGCGGCGGCGCTGCTGCAACAGGAGATCTGGGGTGAGGAGCAGCCTTTTTCTTGGAACCCATAGAGGATAAGGATCGGAGAAGATGAATAAGGTCACCGGAGTTGAAAACGAAGAGGCTTCGTTAAAAATCTTTCGAAGAAAAAGAGGCAAAAAGTCGGGTGACTTTTGATTTGACCCTTGGTGGTCTATTTATAGACAGCTATGAGCTGTCAAATCGGGTCGGGATTCGAGAATCCCATGCCCGCCAAATGTGGCCTGTGCGCCTGTGATGCTTGAGCTTCTGAACGCAGAGTTCAGCTCTGTGCGTCTGCATTGGTTGAACCTTTGAACGCAGAATTCAACCCTGCGTTTCAGTTCGATAACGCAAGAAATCTATCTGTGCGTTCTAATTCAATCAGATGAATTCCTCTATGTTTAAAGCCAAGACATGGTTCTAAATAAATAGAGGGAGGCTAATGTCAGCCATCAAGGCGACTAAAGCCAAGAGAAACAGGTGATTCTACTGAAGAGTCCATTGGATGAGT